AAAAATCTTAAAAAAAAAAAAAAGAAAACTACTAGTTGTCATTCAAAAACTTTCTTTGCAGTGAAGACAAATAATATGTAATTCAAAATAGAAAACAGTTCTTATAAACCCAATTCAGTACTCAGTGTTCTTGGACATTATTCCTGTAAAAGCTTTCTTGCCATGTCGTTTACTAAAGGAATGGCAGAGCAGATACGGGTCATATATGTACATATGTTGACATGATAACTTCTTCAGAAACCCAGATGTGCAGCCCCTTGTCTGTGGCGCAGCTATCCCAAACTTTTAATGTGCATTTATTTGTATTTTTTTAATTTCAATCACTAAACAAATTAATATCCATACTAATTATTTGCTTTGCACTTACCATGTCTCTTTTGTCTCTTTTAGTTCCTTTCTGTAGAATGAAACTACCTTGGTGTTTTCTCCTAAGAATTTATCCCACCCTATAAGATAGATTAATTTTATATAATTCATATATATATATATATATATATATATATATATATATCTGTAAAAACAGTGATTCTTTAGCTTTTTATCTAATGTGATGGTATAGTTTTTAGGAGGTATGGCCCTACAAGATAAGTAATGTGCAGTATTTTAAAATTACACATTTGGAAATATAAAATACATTCTTAATTATTATTCAAAAATATTTAAGTGTTTGAGGGGAAAACACTATGAAGTTTGAGCTGAGGGTTCCTATGATGTAAAAATCACCAAATTTATCACCAGTATTTATTTTCCCTCAAAAGAAATGCAATAATAATTATGTCATGTGCTCTTCACAAATCACTGATTTTAAACAGAGTCCTGCCTTAATTATGTCTAATGTCCTTGAATAGTAAATTATCTCTTAAAAATTCTGTTTCTTATTTGTTTAACTGATGACCGATGTATTAGTTTGAGTATTTTAATATCATAATTTTCCTATGTTCCTATCAGAACTAATGAGCATAGTATCAATGCCAGCAGTCTGTTAACATCCTGGGTGTTTTTATATGGACAGTCATAAATAGGAGATAAAACTGCACCTATATAAATTTGTGGTGTGATTTGGTTTTTGGTTTTGTTGTTTTAGCTGGCCTGTGTGATATCAGTGAAGGGACTGTCATCCCAGAGGATCGCTGCAAATCCCCGACTTCAGGTAATTTGTTTTTTATTTTGTTAATAGTTATAATTCTACAGAAACCAATATAGCGTATCAACATTCCTTGTTATAGATAAGCATTTAAAATATACCTACAAGGACCTTTTGTATCACATATTTATTCTTAAAATCATAACTGTTTTCTTTCTAAGTGAAAAGAAATGCTCTAGATTAAAATCCACATCTGTTATGTTAGGAGTCATAAGACACACCCTTTTTTCAAAAAATTTGGGGTCTAAAAACTGGGTGCGTCTTATGCGGTGGTTGTAGATTTTTTAACTTGCATTTCCCGCTTTTTCGCACTTGTTTTTGGGCTCATTGTTGTAGATTTTTTTACGACGCACCCAGTTTTTAGACCCCAAGTTTTTCGAAAAAGGGTGCGTCTTATACATGGGGAAATATGGTAACTGTTTACTTAGCTTTCTAATATTTACACATTCTTAGGGAAAACATATTTTACTGCTTACCAAGTGGTTTAGTTATCTACAATCTTGTCTGTGCCCTAGGCATGCCTATCATCATCTGGTAGAATGTACTCTAATCCTTGAATAATGTCCATTTAAATATTATGAAAAAATTTTAATACTTACACTCCAATGGTGACTGTAGACAGAATAATTATAGATTAGTTATATTTGTTCTTGTTTTTGATCAAAGTAATATCTGATATAATTTTGTAGCTATACTGAAAAAGTCCTTTCTTATTTATATATAGATCTTTGTATAACCTATTTATATATTAATATTTAGAGGACCATTACTTTTAGTATCTTTTGAGTCTCCTTAAGATTAAGAGGATCCTGAATTTATTATGTTTTTAGTGGATTGAAACTTTTCTAAGCTTTACCAAGGTTGACTTCATAATTTTAACTGCCATATTTATTAAATCATTCTGGCTGGGAATTTTGGTCAATTTTTTACTGGAAAGATTGTTCTTATCATGAAGTAACGTTGTTCTTAGACAGACTCTGACTCTTCCGTAACTGGCTGTACTACACCTCAGAAAGGGTTTTAAGAAGGGGAAATATGGAGAAGTGCATTTTATTTTACTCACTGGTATTTCAGTTTAGCATTTTCTTAGATTTAGGACGGTAAAAGTTTTTGTGATGTTTTCTTTTTAAAATTGTATTTTTCTGATATTGCACAAGTTAATCGTTTCTTCAAATTCATCCACCTTCTGGTTTTCTTAATCTTTAAATTTCATATTTAAATTCGCTCATTAAACAAATAAAAAACATAAGGAGCCATAGGAATCACTCACTTAATTAGCACCTAATGTTAAGTGTGAACATTGGTAGAATAAAATGTGAATGAATAATATGAAGCAAGTAGCTGTATTTCCCATCTCATAGGACTAGAGTTATTTCTGAATTTGGAATTTGGAATTGTAATATCTTTTAATTATTGCTGTTCTTCCTCTGATTATATACAGTACTCTTCTGATCATCTCACCTTCCCTAAAGGCTATGTGAATGCACTTGTCACTATGTTAAGGCTATAAGCCAAATTGACTAACATGCGACTTATTATCTTTTAATATATTAAATGACCATCAAAGGTATTTTAACAAGATTCAGGCCAAATAAATTAATATTCCTTTTTGTCCTAAGCCAAATTTTCAGTAAGCATGTACATCTAGCAATTTGGAATAACCCAATAAGAGGTAATTGTGTATAAGTATATAAGTATATTTAAATCTAAGTATATAAATATCAAAAGTACTTAAAGTTAAAAACCCTCCAAATTTTCTCTCCTTTGTACCAAAGAAGCTGAAACATCGTAAAAGTAAAAATTGTGACTTCAAAAATCATTGATAAGTCACAAATTCTTATCTTTAGATATAAAACTTAGTTTATTTAGTTTAGGCTTTGATTATGCTCTGAAAGATATAAGCGTTGTCTGGAGAATTATATCTGTTCCTGCGTATCAGAAAAAACTACTTTTTCAAAAACAAATCAAACTTTCATAGACAGTAGTTGTGCCCGCAGCATTTCATATAATAGGAAATAGATGTCAGTCACACGTAAGTACTAGAAATTACAATAAAAACTAGAATAAAATTCTGGAAATCTACCCCTTTGACATGATATTGTTAAAGCTTGTGTCTTTCACTACTTGTCTATTTTTAAATAGTTAATAGTAATTTTTGCTACCTATCATGGGCCAATTCTCTTTTTCTCTGTACATTTGTAACCTTTTTGCCTTCATTCCTGTTTGCATTCTAATAAGGAAATAAAGGAATAATTGATTATTCTTCTTACCAACACATGTTAATTCTTCTAATTTAGGATGGTCAAAAAGAAAAAAATGGATGGGATGAGTTGGAGGTGAATCTGAAGAGGGGGATCATGTTATTAAAACCATGGAAAGTGGTAATTAAATTACTAGCCTCAGATACTTTCTGCAGTGCCATGGGAAATAAATAAGACATATGACAAGAAAATAGTTAAATGATACAATGTAGATTTTAAAACCAGTATAGTTCCTAGAAAACAGTATTGAGAGAAGAGAAAATGTATAACTGTAGGTAGGAAGTTGGAGTTCCTCATAAATCATTAGAAGAGGACCACTATTATAATGAAAGAAGCCATATATCCTTTATCAAAATCAGTGTGTTTACTCAAAATAATACATATAAATGAAGAGACTTTTTTGTAAAGCTTGTAAATCTCAAAATCAAAATTTGTGATCTCAACAGTTTAGTCAGTATGAAAGCTCTATTCAAAAATAGTTTGCCTTTCCTACTTGTTTTTAAATAAACCAACATAAAAATAGAAAATTCTGCCATCCTGAATTAACATAGAAAATTATTTCTGCCATCTCTGTTTGATATTTATTTCAAAGAACTAAGATTGCTTCACTGAGCACTTTAGTGTTGGAATTTTTTTACTACTGCATCCAAAATGTGTGTGTATGTGTATATGTGTATATGTAAATGATAAAAACATTTGTTAGGTTTTTTTCAAATTGAAGAAAACCCAGAGCCACACAGACCATGGTATATACATGGTATCTTCAGGAGTTGCCATGTGCCATAGGAAAAACAAAAAGCTCTAGATATTTTCTGTTTATTTATTTATAGTAATTTGGTAAATATATTCAAGTAGGATAGGCTGAAAATATTTCTGGAACATTTTCATGAGCTATTACAGAAGTATGATAACATAGTGGTAGGCATATTCACTTAGGGGAAAATAAATCTGTGAATCTGCTTGTTTTATTTTCATTTACAGATTATGCTGCCTTTTTTTAAGTTGGAAATACTAAACATTTTTATAATTTTATATTTATGTTTAGATATGTTATCTTGCTATTGATCTAATATCAAATATATCAAATAAAGTATTAATAAATTTTGTACATTCATGTGGCTAAGTTAGTATCAGAGATGACAGCGATGTTTTAAAATATATATAGCATCTTACTATAACCATTACCTTCTTTAAATATAAATTTTATTTATAAGAAAAATAAGTATAGCTGTTTCCATTCCTGAAAATGTTACTAAGCTCAATGTTACTTATGTGATTTTTTTTATATAGGATTTATGAGGATCTAAATGTTATTTAGCAAAACTTACAAGGTTTTTAAAGAGTAATCTAATTGGATTTCAAGTAATCTAATTGGATCCTGCCAATATTAGTAGGTTTTACTTGGTCTGAAGACACCTCAAGGATATTTTCCACCTGGTCAAAGAAAGTAGGATTTTGTTGCAGAAGGGGGGTCAAATTTGACCTTATTTATTAAGGTTCAGTACTGGCACTGGGATAAGAAAAGGAAAGAACAGAAAAAAACCTTTTTACTCAACTGCCAGTTATGTCCTAGGTGTTTGCTTCTAGCAGAAAAGCTTTATTCATTTGGCAAATGTTTACTTAGAGATTTCTACATGTGAAGTACTGCACTGAGTGCAAAGGGAATACAATCAGACAGGGGCCCAGCTTTTCAGAAGTTCAGTCCAGTGGGAAACGTCAGATGTGTGAAAACTTAAAATATAGGGTGTTCAGAGAAATATACCAATAAAGTGTTATGGGAATTCAAAAGAGAGGGAATTACTTATTTATAGCTGGGCCGATTAAAAAATTTAATGGATGACATATTTTAACTGCATTATGAAGACTATATAGTTTAACGCTAATAAAATTCAAGTAGCATACTACTTAGGATTGCATTTATAATAAAGGATATGTGTTAGCAATTAAAAAATACTATGAAAAATTAAAAACACCTTTTTAAAAGAAACATCACCAAAATCTTAGTTATAAAAACATTAGATAAACTTAATTGGATATCACAGCTGAAATAAAATTAAATATTTAAGTAAATATTTGAACATATCTATAATTATAAGTAGTATCCTTAGTACTTTAAAGGTCTCTGTAGTAATAATAGAATTTACATATTATTTTGAAGTTTGTATCTAGAAAGCTAACTCTAAAATAAATTTTGCAAGTATAGTGCTTGTACAGGATTCTTAGTTCTAGATAACTAATTTCAAGAATTTTTACATTTTCTTTCAGAAACAGTTAATTGGCCTCTCTACTCATAGTTTTCTTTATCTGTTCTCTATTATATAATTTACACCAAGATTTGGCCACATGGTTGAAACTTATACAAAAATTATTTTATATTAGAGTTCATATTTATATACACTAAGGAATTGGTCTACTGGGAAGGATAATGCACTGACTGCTGTTCTTGCTGTAATATCATAAGAATGTTATTAACTATATCCATGACATCTCCTTGTGGCCTGTAGTGTGGAAACTTGTTGTAGAGGTGACTAGATTATTGGTTTGTACTTTTCCCTGTAACTTCTCAGTGTCTGTGACTGACCTTTGTGCCTGTTCCTTCCATTGTCTTCATTTGTGTAGGTTCTTCATCACCACACAATTCAGATGATGAACAAAAAATGAATAATTTTATAGAAAAGGGTATAGTATCTTTATTTTAAAGTATTTTATTTTAATTTTGTTTAATTCATTTAGTTTACTTTGAATAGATTTTGACATTTTATATCAAAATGTTATTTTCAGTGAAGACCAAAAGCAGAAAGTTTTCCAAGATGGTAGCCAGTGATATAGGTAGGAAATAGAAATTTCTATTTTGTTTTTAATCCTTGCTATATGCAATGCTAACTCAACACCAAAAAATTATCTAATGCATTGCATTTCAAATATATTAATTTGTTCTATATTTCTGTGCTAAACAATCTCTTGGGCTGTGTTTCTTCTAAACTCCTTGGGGCAATGATTATTAAAAATCAGTTAAATTGGGGTTGCAGTTCTTCCTCTTTACAGTATGAATTGTTCTATTAATTTTTATTTTTGCTTTACTTTAAAATAAAGCAGGGTTCAATTTATGCCGTAAATAGTATGATTTTATACTCCCAAGTTTAAAATTTTTTTCTTCAGAGTTTTATTTGTATTTTTCTCTACCTTTATTCCATCCTCACATTTTCAAGACCCCAAATTTCAAGAAAATGCTTCTCTAAAAGATTGACGCTTTTAGACTGTAATCTGCACTATCATTGGGTGAAATGGGAATTTTTTAGGACCCACCCCCCAAGTAAAAATGAGTGATGGAGAATATATTATTCCTTTTGATTGTTTTTATGAATATACTTTGAAATGAATTACTCAGTTGAAGGTTTTCGAAGTTTTAAAATGGTGGATACAATATATAATCAAACTGTGGGGACATAATGAAACTAGGGGTTTTTGGTCATAATAATTTGACTATTTTCTAAAGATTTTTAAAGGCTTGACAAACACCATTTTATAAAAAATAAATTTAATCTTTGATTTAAATCCAAAAATTTTAATATATTGTTATATTATTTCCCCCAAAACTTCCACCACATATTTCTTGAATTGTGTTAAATTAGATGAATACCTAGGCAGCTGGAATAGATTTCAACTGATAACTTTTAACATACAGTAAAACTAAATTTCAAATATTCTTAAAAATAGTATCCATATTGTCTGCATGCATGTTGTAAATTGAACCCTGTTTAGTCATATTAACTTTGGCTGACTGTTAGCACTTCTTGTCGTTTTTTAAATAAGGCGGTTTATTCTTGGGCAAAGGGCTCTTCATTTATGGAGAATCAATTATTAATACCTCTGTATTTGTGGGTTTTAGTTAATCAGTTGATAATACTTAAATCACTTTAATTATGTACTAGCACTATAGCATAATACTTTTCCAACAAATTTTTTTTGTAGTATGTTCTAACTTAACAGTACATTCTATCTTAATAGTACTTTAGAGGTTATTTTACTGTTACATAATATAAAAAAATTAGAAGGGACTTTCCTACATATAATTTAGTGAAGAACTGCTAGAGTTTAATTACCTAGAAATTTTACCTTGAAAGGGACTTTGTACATAATTAAATTTTTTTAATTTCTGTCTGATTTTTTGATCTTGGGATTATAGTTCCTTTGTTAAATGTATTGATTAGCTCCCCGTTTTTTCTGTTTTCAATATAGTAGGTAGCATGGGATATCTGAGCTTGAATATTTGCAAGACGTCAATTAACAATTTTCTTAGGACTGAGAACATTGTTGGAAGGATAGCTCTTTGATAACGTTCTTGCTTTTTATGTTATTGGCAAATTTGTTTATTTTGTTTGTTTTTTTTCTGTCATGCCAGTTTGTATAGTTATGTTTATTGGGAAATATGTTAACTTTATTCAACTTTTGAAACTTCTTTAGTTACACAGTTATACACAATTATTTTTTCATCTTCAGAAACGACTGTTATATCTTCTATTTTATATATAATTTTGTTTGGAATCTTTCAGTGTCTTTTTAGTCTCAAGATATATCCTAAGGTATATAGAAGAAAAGCTCACTTCTAAATTTATTCTTCATTTAAATGGAGACTGCCGCATTTTAGACTGTAAAGTTTTTGCAGTTAAAAGAAGAATGACACAGTTTATCTCCGTACATTAATGTCTAGTTTTGTAATAAGACTCAGCGTAAAACATGCCATTGAAAAACAAAATGTCAGTGCAGCATTGAAAAAAAATCATAAGATTTCCTGAAGAGCTCTCTGTTGAGACGTATTTTTCCATATGAAGCTTGTGGTGTCAAAAGTGTTACGACTCCTCGAGCACTCTGTACTCCCTGTTTGCTGTCATCCAATCCCATACCTGCTCTGAAGTATCCTGAGCTCATAAAATTATCACCTCTATCTTCCTCAGTCTACACACATTTATAGCTTCAGCCTTAGGCAGTTATGCAGTGGCCTAGTAAGGGAAAGCATAAAAATTAAGCCTTGGCTCTGGTAAAAGAACCACCATGTGTGAAAGGCTGACAAAATGTCTTAGCTCTGAAACTTTGTCCCTCAGTTTCACCTACTCTTTGAAAGTAGCTGCAGCTAGTGTCGTATTGGAGAGGGCTGGGAGAGGGATGGGGGGTGGGTTGCAGGATGCCATTCTTACTTTAACAGCCTAACCCATGCCTGGAAAACCAACAGTACAGCTGAGCTAGCTGAAATGCTAACAATATTTTTAAAAATAGTTTCTTATTTAATCCACTCAGTAACCTCAATGATCTACTTACTATTATTTCCCTGTTTTACATATAAGGAAACTTGAGTTAGAGTGTAACGTATCTATTGGTTACACAGCTAGCAAATGACAGAGCCAGCATTTACACCCAGGTAGCCTGGCTACTCTTTGTCCTCTTTAACACTGTACCATATTACCTCGTAAAACAATTTACTGAAGGCTATAAGGTCTCAAAAACAAATCCATTGTGTGATTTGTAACTAGATAACCTGGTTATGACCCTGTTCTATCTGCATGGTAAGCTGGAACAAAGATGGCTCATAATTAAGTTCTGTCCTAACACCAGATCATGGATGCCATTTTGGCACCCATCACCCAAACATACTATACAGTGCCTCGAAGTCTACCTTCCTCAAAGACCAGACTCAAAGCAAAGTAACTAGAGCAAACGGTAGAGTCCCCTAACCCTACCCATATTCTAGCTTCTTTGTTTCCTGACTGATAGCTAACTCAGGTAAATAACAATGACAATGACTGTCTTGTTTGTACATAAGAACAGCCGTCTAAAAAAACATAATTTTAGTCTTGTGAGTTTAACAGCAAAAATATAGCAGAATATAATGCAATTGCAGCATCCCTAAAGAGAGGTACATGCAATGTAATACACATAGAGTGATTCATTTTGCTTATTCATACCTTATGATTAATTTTTGTTTGTAAAATTTTAATGACCAACATTTCCAAAATCAATTACTTTCCTATAGTGTTAGCAATTTCTGTAAACCATTTAGAAAATAAGATTGGCTATCAATTTTTTATCTGCTTGTTATTTATATTTTATAAAACTTGGAAGTATAAAATTCTATAAAGCTTTTTATTGTTTAAATTTGTTTAAAAATAGTCCTAAAATATATATCTTTATGAAACTATTAATCTATTTTTTTATGATATCCTTATGAATAAAGTATGGTCCAAATTCTAGCATTGTATGGTAGATTTTGAACTACATGATTAACCTTTTCTAAAATTTATTCTATTTCATTATGATTCTGTTTCCTTCTTAAAGTAGTGTTGTAGTTGGATTCTATAGTCTACAACACTACTCATGTCCAATTTTATTACTAATTTTCATGTAGAAGGAATGATTACGAAATTGATTACATGATACTAGGTCAAGATATTGCTAGAGATTACAGAATAAAGATTCAAAAGTGCAGTGACAGTCAGTGTTGTGATAAAACAGAAGTAATATCTCCATTTAATGAGCACCTCCTAAGTTCTAGACACCATACTAGATATTTTCCATGGTAGTTGTTAATATAGGCAGTATTATACCTCCAAGGCCCTCTTTATCTTTCAAATTCTGAGGCAGCAGTCACTTGGGTAATGATTAATTATCTTTCTTAGCAAACATTGAAGTAATTTTTAAAATCAGTTTAAAGGAAGATAATGTTCATTATTCCAAGTGTTGTTTTTATCGAGTTCCAATGATTTCTTTTTTAAATTAAAATATTCTAACATAACTTAAATCTGTTGTTAGTCATTACATTCTCAATCACTAACTCATTAATACTACAATTTTAAAACAGCTCAGGCCCCTTTATTTTTCAGGGAAAGAAATTAAATTTCAAAGAAGTTAAGTGGCATATCCAGAATAATGTCCCATGGTAATCACCTAGTCAGGACCAAAATCCAGGTCTCTTGACACTTGTTTTACTATATATACCATGTCCCCATTTTCATGTTATGTGGTCTTTTTCCTATGCTGTCTTCCCAATTCTTTTATATTTACAAGTTGAAAAATAAATTCTTAGATGCCCATTTCGCGTTGCTATATGAATGAAAGGTATGTATCAAATTAAGTAGAATGTTAAGTTATAAAATTATTTCAATTCATTATAAAACTCAAATTAGTACTGATATTTTTACTTTATATAATCCTAATATTCAACCCAAAACATGGCTATTACATCTGTAGTTCATCCTTGTATTTAATACAAAATATGGCCATTGAAAATAGAAGCTCATCTTGAGAGAGATGAGTCAGGTGTGCAGTAATATCATTTTTACAGGTAACTAATATTTTCTACTTTGAAAGATTATTACTTACCTTAATTAGTCAAGAACTAAATTTCACAGGCACATACTTTAAAACCATTATATAAATCTGAGTTCCTTTAATGAATTCTTTTTCTTTTCCAGGCTGACTAAAATCTGAAGAGTATGGCATATTTTGATTAATAATTTCTGATGTATTTTTATATTAAATTTCATAATAAAACCTCAGTAAAGTCTTTTTGTGTTTTGTATTCCAGTACTTCACTGTATGTGCATTTATCCCTCTATCGAATCATCTTTTTCTTACATTGGAAGGATATATAATCTTTCTAAAAATAACTTGCTGTTTGTGCTCTCACATAAAATTCATCCAGATTAAAGTTATATTACTGAAATTATCTCTTTGTCAACTATTGTTTGAGCAGAGCTATTAATGTGGCAATTTTGTGTTCTGCTATTACTTATGGTACTAGTTTACTAGGACTACCGTGCCACGTACGAGATCAC